AGATTTATAATTAAAATTGTCCAATTATAATAATAAATTTGGCATATTGATTTATAATTTTTTAAATATAGAACTGTTTTACAGATTCAATGGGTACAATGATGAAATTGTTTAAATGAAAAATAAGATTAAATATTAATTTGAATGTATAATAATTTTTATTACTTTTTCCTTCTTAATTTCCAAATAAAATTAATTATCAATTTTTTTTTTTATTTTAATAATTAATAAATTAAAAAAATTTTGTTTTTTTTTTCCAATTTTTTTCAAAAATCGATATTTTATTAACTATAAGCATTCAATATGTTCCTTTACAATTTAAAAGATATTTTAATTAAATATTTAACTTGTATTGAAAATTTTTAAATTTGAAAAAATTTCACCAACACAATTTTTTTTTTTAATTTAATAACATAATATTTTAAATGTTAAAAATATTTTTAATAATGATGAATAAAATATGAAATAAATAAATTAATTTAATTATATAATTGATGCACATAATCTCCACTAAACGTTGTATCTTATAACATTGTAATTTTTAAAGTTAAAAAAATAATCTCAGAATATTTTACATAAATTTAATTTTGTTATTTAAAAAAAAATTCAAGAATTTAATTTTGAAGTTTAATTTTTTAAAATTAATTTTAAATTATTTTATTTTAATAATAATTATTTTATTTTTTAATATTAATTTAATTTTGTTTAAAAATTTTTAAAAATAAATTAAATTTATTTTTTTTCCCATGGTTAAAAATGAAAAGTTATAATATTTGTTTTTCATTAATTTCAATATTAAAATATTTAGTAATATTTTTTTATTTAATTTTGAAAAATTGTTATATTAAATTATCTTTGATATTTTAATTTTTACTGACAGAGTTACCAGATTTCTATATTCCAAATGTATGAAAAATAATTTTTAATAAATTGTATAACACATTTTTTTTTAAGCACTTTATTATTATAATTAATAAAAAACAAATAAAATAAATAAAATAATTTTATATAACAAAATTTTTAAAATCAAATATGAAATTTGTACGATAATTTATCAGCTTAAATAATTTAAATAATATATATGTATATAACTTTTATATTTTTATTAGAAAAACACTTATTTATTATGTTATTAATATTATTTTATTTTTCAATTTAATTTAATTTATAAATATTTATAAATATTATGTTTTTTTATAATGCTTAGATTTTCAATGTAAATTTTATTATTTTATTAGTATAGTATATATACACATTCAAAAATAAATTCAAATAAATACAAATTAAATCTTGTATTCGTATAACACTCCAATTAAAAGGCGATGAAAAATACTTACATAAAATTACAACAAAAAAAAAAACACACAATTATTATTAATTAAATTAAATTTTAAATACAAATAAAGAAAACTTAAATATTACTCTTATATACCAATTACGGAATAAATATATATGCACTTTAAACATCTAAATATTTTTATAAAATATGTACATATATAACATACCAAATAATTTAATTTATTTTTATAAATTTTCATTAAACATAAATTTTTTTAATAAAATATTTAATTATTTTAATTTAACACCCTTTTCACATTTTTATATTTAACAAAATAATCAATATTTTAACAATATACATACTATATATAATATTATTAATTGTATTATATAAAAATATTCTATAATATGTGGAAACTTCTTAATTTGCATTAAAATTTATTGAAATCAGGAATAATTTTTTATAAGAATAACGTTAAAAAAATATTATAGAAAAAAAAAAAACAAAATAAAATTTTTTTTTTCTTATAATTTTTTATAATAATAGGATTTTAAATATAATATTACTTTTCCATATATTTAAAAATTAATTATATATTTTCAAATTATTCTCTTATATAGAATCTGTATATATATATATATTTATTATTTTCTTTTATTTTTTTCAGTATATAATATAAATAATTTTTATTCTATACTTTTTTTTTCTATTTTTTATTTTTTTTTGGTTTTTTTTTCTTGTATAATGTTAACGAGTCGCAAATATTATTTAACGTACTGAATGGTGTTTTAAACGCGACGACGTCCACATTCAGACTAAAATTACGAAAGGACATTTAGAATACAAACATAAAAAAAAAGGGAAAGATTAACTAAATAATACAGAAAAAGAAAGATACGTTAAAAAAAAAAAAACAGCAAAAAATAAGATATTTCAAAGGATGCAAAAACAAAAAAGAAATTATTATACTGTTATATTTAAGTTTAATTTAATATACAAACACGTACACGCTACATTATATTATACAAATACAAAATCACAAGATAATTTTTAAATGAGAAGATACCAAATACCTACTTATATGTAATATTGTTATACACGCAGCATATTATTCCAATAGAGTAACAAAGATCCTTTTATTTATAATACTTATTTGGTTTTTGTTATTTTATTGCTTTTGTTGTAATTTTCATTATTTCTTATTTTTATGTAATTATATATGTACATATATGGTTTTTATTATAGATAAGAATATTCTAAAAAGAAAGAAAAGTTATACATCTCAAAATTTTTATTTTACTTTTATATTCTTACATTAAGAGATTTCTTATGTGGAGAAAAATTACAGCAACATCGTATTGTATGGAATAAAAATTTAAAAATTTTTTTTCTCTCTCTCTTAAAGATATTAAACTAGTGCGAATAATGAGAAATAGCAATTTAAAAAAGAAAACAATTAAATTAATTTAAAATTTTTATTCAAAATGAATTTTATTCTTATTTCATCCTAAAATATTACAGGTGATTTTCGTATCGTAAAATAATATATTTAAAGTATATTGTAACAAGCAAATGGAATATTAAGGAGGGTTAGTGCTAAGGTAAAATTTGAAGGCTTCATTAAAAATATTTTAACATAACAGATGTTATGTAAGGCTATTACAGAATTAGGAAAAATTTTCAATATAGCCTGTAATTACGATATTTAAAAGCTAGTGTATTAATGCAAAAACGTTATTTAATATTTTGTTACTCATTATTCATCAAAATAAAAGCTACGATAATATTAATCAGAATTAATAATATTTAATAATTTATTTAAAATATTAAAAAATTTTGAAGTATACAATATTAACATGTATCATGCTAATATTCATGATTTGTTTTTAAATAAAATTTAAATTGCATATTAAAGCTTAAACAATTAATCATAAATAAAAATTTAAAAGATTTTTTTATAAAACCTCCAAAAATTTATAAATTGCGTGTGTGAACCATATGAAGTATCTGATAAAGATGTTATATGATAATAAAATATAATATTTGAATGTTTTCGAAAATATTACAATATTTTTTTAAATTATCTGTTTACATAAATTTAAAAAATATTCATAATATTTGTGAACATATGTAACATTTTATTATTGAATATTTTGTAATTTTTATTTCCTTTTTTTCTCTTATATTTGGAAATAAAATAGAAAATAATGTACAATCTACGCCGTCGCGACATCTCAACAAAATGATTACATTATTTTCTTAGTACATGAGTACCTAAAATTTATAATAGAAATATGTACTATAATATTTTTGATAAATTTTATAATCATATACATACATACATAGAATTTTCACAACTGTTCGAAAATTGTATAAGTAAACATTATGCGTATACTTTATAATATAATATAATAACAATCCAAAGTAAAGACATGAATACTACTATGTACAACTGAATAATATAATTGAATCAAGTATAATACATTTGGAAAACTGTAGTACCTACACTTTTAAAATTTGATTTATATTATATATAGCATTATATATGGGCATATGCATATTAATATACATAATTATAATATTAAGAAAGCGAACGTATACAAAAGTTAGAAGAAAAAATAAATACAAGCATATACATTAAAAATTTATCCTGTTTGGAGATCAGTTAGTGGGCATAATTTAGATTCTCTTTAAAATAAAAACAAATTTATTTTTTTCTCTTTTTGCAGTTATTATGATGATGATGAAAATTTTAAGAGAATTTCTTGAATTCTCTTTTAAGGCCATGTTACATAGAACTTATTTTACTCTATAATATTGTGCCTCATATAATTACATATTATATTACATTATTGATGTAAATTTATCATATTATATATATGTAAGAGTTAAATATCTATAACAATAGTATAACAGTTAATATTATATTCGAATAGTTCGCAATATAATTATACACAGTTATACTCCAAATTTTTCTATATTTCCCTACTATCTTATTTTTAAGAATGACTGGGAATTATAAGCACTTCAAATAAGAACTAATAAAATCTAAGTAATTTTGTAAGAATTTTATTTCATGAAAATTTTTACTTATAGATCTTTTTCATTTTATTTTCTTATATGTGTATATAAGAAAATATTGCGATATTTTTATGGAATATTCTGGTTTTTTAGTTAGATCTTAAAAGTTTATATTAATTGTAGTGTAATGTCGTTGATATACAAAATATTAATATTTAAAGAAAATATTTACTTTTCCATAATAAAAATAAAAATTTTGTGTTAACGTAGATAATAAGACGAAAAATTAAATAATACGCCCTATTATATGAAATTAATAAATTCAACAATGAATTATATTTGCATATATGTATTATTAAAGTCATGTTAAGTCTGTATTAGCATGGTTAAATCTACAAATGTTTCTATAAATTTCTAAAGTTTTGCGTTTCAGTTTTAATAAAGTTCGGAACAATATCTTTATACATGTCAATCATTTTTTTAACTTTCATCTTGCAACGAAACACAAAATATTGTTAATTTAAATAAGAAATTTAAGACCCAATAATCCAAAAATAATTTTGTAATTTGAAAATAGCATTGTCCTCATAGAAATATCCCCACCAAATCCCCACAAGATGTTAAATTTATTGTGTTACCGTTATTACTAAGATTTTAAAATTGCCTAAATAAAGTCTATATAGAGACAAAACGCTAAAAATTAAACTTATAAATTTTATATTTTATTAAAAAATTAAGCAAAGATTAAATTTTTCCAATGTCTAAAACTTTATAAATTTTTATAAACTTTCTATATTAAAATGGTTAATAGTTATTAAAATGTTTCAATCTCAAGAGTGGAACTTCCCCTTTGAAATTTCCCATTGCAAAAAATCCAGAGTTAGGCGAAAATTCTAATCTACGCACTTTTCCAAACTTTATTTGGTCACCAGGAAAATTCATATAAACCTGAAAATACATTCAACACAACAATTTTATTACAATGAATAATTAATAATTTATTAAAATTAATTTACCGATGCTGTTGGAAAATGAACTAGTCTAACAGCGTTATCAATTTTATTAGAGCATAAACCCAGAATTTCACCGGTATGATTAAATTTTAAGTCTGTAATTGAAGTTCTAAGATTGTATATTACTTTCTGAGGGATTGGATTTGTAGTTTTAAATACGTCCGTGTAATTATATACATTAACAACACCTTCATGGCTGCCAGTTGCAACCAAACTGCTGCTCGGATTGATTGCTACACAATTTCCTTTTATACAACCTTCATCAGAAAATATGTGATCTACTTTTTGCTGACGTATATCAAAAATAGTTATAGTGGATGTCGTCGAATGAGAGAATATCTTTTTGGAATCATTAGAAAACACTAGAGAAGTACATTGATCTTCTTGCTTAAATGTATATAACAATTCTTTTGAATTCATATCTAGGAGATGAACTTCACCAAATCGACCAGAAGCTACTATAAAATTGTTATCTGGTGAAATTGCGAAATTTTTTAACTTTGTCATCACTTTTGGTAAAAATATTCTAGTTGCAGTCATTTTAATTAAATCATAGCAATAACAAAAATTTCTTATGCTCCCAATTATCATGTCCTTTCCATTGGCAAGTAGCTTTGAACATTTTATTGGAAAATTTTTGAATTGCATACTATGCAATTTATCATTTTTCAAACCATCAATTGAATACACAGTCGCGACACCGTTCTCCCCGCTAGCAATCGCAACCGTTGATGTTGGATGAAATTGTATGTCCGTAATCGGACCTAAAAAATTAAAAATAGTTAAAGTTAAGCATTATTCTACAATTTTAGATCTTTAAAATGCTACCTTCGGAATATGTTGCCCGATTAAGATCCTTAAGCTTCTTAAAACTTATGAATTGATTTTGTAAATTTGCGTGAGTGGAGGGTGCTAAATGACCAACTGTCTTAAGGATCTCTTCATCAGAATCGACCTCTTCTTCCCGATCTAAATCAGCCCATTTTGGTGTGGTAACAACTCTTTCGAATCTTTTTGTTAAAAGACTTTTGTAAGATTTATCTTTGTTTAAATGATTTAAAGAACCTTGTCTTTTTTCGACAAGAACATCTCCCACCCTGATATTATCCTCATCATCTGAATCATGCCAAACTGCTTTTCGTTTGTTGCCTTCTTCACTATCATTGTTTTTTCGTTTTTTATTTACTTGCTCTGCAAATCTGTTAAGCAAAGTTTTTTTATTACCGAAAACCAGATCTTCCAAACTTGTTTCTTCTTCAACATTATCTTTCTTAAAATGAGAGTTTTGAGTGGTTAACGTTTCTGTGCTACATTCATTCGATTTTTGAACTTCCAACTGATTACTTGTATTTTTGGTTTCTTCTTCTTCAGCAATATCAGTATTAAGTTCCCCAAATAATTCAGATTCTGAATCAGACATTTTTAGACAATATTGGTAAACAAATTTATAAAAAAGTTAAAAACGTAAAAATGTCAAAAAACATAAACAATGACATGTGGGTGCTAGTGTTGCCGAGAGTACTTTAATTTAACCAAGTATAATGTACATTCTATACAATGCTACCGTTATACTGAAAACAGCTTTCGCGTTGTATAGATACATTTTAGTGTTTACCAAAAACTATTTTCCCTTTCATTATTTTGTTACGATACCATATGTGTACCTTCTTTATATTCAGCCTTATGCATAATATCGCAAAACTCTTAAAAAGAAAATTTCTCCCACTATAAAACGTAACTTCTTCATACAAATTTAAATTAATTTAATTTTACTAACGAATTCAGTTATTCGAAACTCTAATATATTTAAAGTATTTTTTTTTCCAATCGGTACTCTAACCATGGGCGTTTACTAAAAGATAAACTTTTATGAAGTCGAGTTTACATTCTACTTTCATCTAAGGTTCTCTAAAATCTTTAAGCTCTTCCCCAGAATAATCAGCAATATATTCTACTACCAAATCTTATGTCTGTTTATATATACAACCGAAACTACCTGACAGAGGTCACACTGCAAACATGTAAAAATCAGCTAGTCTCCGTTCAAAACTTTAGCAAATTGTCACCATTTTGCTTTTAAAAAATCTTATGTAAATTTAATGAGAATAAAGTAATTTCTTTATTACCCGCCAGACAAAGTATTTACCCACACGAAATGTCAAGAAGTATTTACTGTTTATCTACACGACTTTTTTAAGACTCTAATTGAATTCTTAGATGTGAATAGTATCTAAAATGCGATTCCATTTCATTCCTTGGAAAATATAGAAATGAAACTAACCAATCAAACTGACACATTTATTGATGAAACTTTTAGAATGAAAACAAAAAAGGTTATGTACATTTTTTTGACATTACCGGTTCCGCACAAAAAATTTAAATAAATTAAAATAGAATCATAAGATAAATAATGATTTCGTTTGTGGCATTATATCAAGAAACGGTGCCTGATTTAGTGCAAACTCTAAAGGAAGTTAGGGGTTTTTCATACGATGGTTTAGCTGTACCATTAGTTAATCCATTATTTCCTAGGGAATTTTTATATGAACCTCTGAAATCAAACCAAATAGTGTTTTCCAGATCAGATTTACTATTTTCTCCAGAAGATTGGTTATCATATTTCATATCAGTGCTTAATAGTAACATTGATTGTGATTCAAAAAATGAAAATGTTAGGCGTCAAAGTGAAGCAAAATTAAAACAAGAAATTGCTTTCTCTGAACATGTTATTCAGTCTGGGCACACAATGATAAAACTAAAATCAAGCGATTGCACAAATTTAGCGCGAATCGTAAGCACCAATGTTAAAGGTAATGTCAAAAAAAATTTGTTTTTTTAGTAAACCACGTTTAACAATTATTTTTAGGAACAATTCTAATACACATTCCAATGATCTCTAAAGATTTATCAAAACAAACTTTCCGTCGAGATATAGATGAAGATGACTTAACACAAGGTGAAGATACTTGGAATATGTGGAATAAATTTAGAATGGTAGCAGATTTTCATCCTAGAATAAAATTAGCTCTTGAATTGTGTGATGACATTCCTAGTCAGAATGAGGTATGGAGATGGTTAGGTGAACCGGTGGAATGCATTGTTATACCTCACACTTTATTTAGAAAAAATAAGGACGGCAATCCAGTACTATCATCCGCACATTTAAATTTAATCAAAGATTTTCTGCAAAATAATATCCATTTTATAATAACTGGTAATATTGACGATCATGGAACCAAACTGTACGCTGAATATATAAAAAAATTTGTTCTTTCGAATCAAATCACTGATCAAATGAAAGGGTACAATTCATAATTTTTAAAAGTTTATAAAAACAAAAGTAAACTTAATACTAAATTTTTAGCTTGGATGATGTACTTGAGATTCCCCTCCAACCACTATTTGATAACTTAGATTGCTACACATACGAAGTTTTTGAAAGGGATCCCGTTAAATATAAATACTACCAGAATGCTATAGAGGCTGCGCTAATAGATAAGGTTCCAGATAATGAAATTAACAAAAAGACGGTAAACGGAAAAGAAAAATTAGTTTATGAATAACAAACACAATATTTTTTCTATTAATAGATAATTGTAATGGTAGTTGGGGCTGGAAGGGGTCCCTTAGTGAGAGCTGCTATTAACGCATCTATTAATTCCAAGAGAAAAATAAAAATTTTTATTGTGGAAAAAAACCCAAATGTAATAGTGACTCTAAAGGCACTAGTGGAGGAAATCTGGCCAAGTGGAGGTAATGTATTTAAGTGTAATTGTCCAACTTATTTAAATATTTTTCTTATCTAGACATTGAATTATTCCATAATGATATGAGGGACTTACAATTACCCCAAAAAGCAGATATTCTTGTTTCAGAATTATTAGGTTCTTTTGGCGATAATGAATTATCACCGGAATGCTTAGATGGTGCACAAAAGCATTTAAAAAAAGATGGAATTAGTATACCATGCAAATACACATCGTATCTTAATCCAATAATGTCCTCTAAAATTTATAATAATATCCGGTCTATATTGTTAGAGAAATTTTCTGCATTTAAAGATAAATACCCTACAACAGGAAATAATTTTGAATCTACATTTGTAGTATATTTGAAAAATGTATTTCACATAGATGAACCCAGATCGCTTTTTGAATTTAAACATCCAAATAGAAGAAAAACTACGGAAAATTCAAGGTATAAAGCATTGAAATTTAATGTATGGAATGATTGTGTTCTACATGGATTTGCCGGATATTTTGATACAGTGCTATATAAAGATATCAAATTGAGCATACATCCAAAAGATCATACTCAAGGTTTATTGTCTTGGTTTCCCTGTTTCTTCCCTCTCACGGTAAATCAGTTAGTTTTTAAAATAAAAAATTTTAATTTTATAGTTATCATTTGAACGCAGGAACCTCAATTGTGTTCAGCAGGCGACACGATTGAAGTGGAATTCCGAAGATGTGTCTCATCATTTAAAGTTTGGTACGAGTGGAATACAATTTCTCCGAAAGTTTCTATAGTTCATAATCGAAATGGAATTGTTTGCCCTATTTATAAATAAATACTTTCTAATACAACATTTATTTAAAAGGAGCCGATTGAATTCTCTTAAATTTATCAACTTTTGGCTGAAAATTATATTTTATTTTTAAAAATAAATTTTTATTTAAAACTTACCTATATGAATTTCATTATTTTAATGTTATAAATAATTTCATATATAGTTTCAAATGCAGACAGTGTACCTTGATAAACTAGAAAACCTTTATGTGTATAAAATAAAGAAAATTGTCACATATATAGTTTCAGTAAATATTTTTATATATTGTTTTAGATAACAAGAGAATCACAAAATTACATCTCATAATTTTTACGCAACATGATATAATATAATGTCTACTATATAAATGTATTGTTACAATATATTCAGCAAAAAGTTTTAATTACGAAAATTACATTCTTAAAATTATAAATATAGCTAGTTTACAATAATACATAACATATCTTAATATATATTTTATAGCAGTATATTGGAATATTTCGAACTGTTTTAATATTTTACGATGATTTGATAAAACTGAAGGGCTTTTTTTCAGGATCTTAGGGAGAAAATGGCATAGACTGCTATGCAAGTTATAAGAAATTATGATACATTAGCAATATATCTCCTTAAATATAAAGTAAAACAATAAAATAATTAAAATAAACTCCTAGGCTTCGTTTGTCTTTTCTCATTATTCTCATCAAACATATTTCTAATTGTGCACTGCAAAGTCACAGTTAAATTATAAATAATTTCCATAAATTACAAAAGAAATGGCTGTTTATAAGTAACAGCAATTTTTTTTTTATATATTCATTAATGTCGATTTCTGGGCATTTGATTTTTAAATCAACTGGAATGACGGAAAGAGTTACTATATCTTTATTTGAACATTTTAAAAAAGTAAATAATAGGTTAACTGTGATAAATTACCCTAGGTAGTGAACGGTGCACAATAATACCGGGCAATTATTAAATACACAAAGAGGAGGTGGGTTCATTTAACGACTTAATCTGGGTCCTGTTAAATATTTCAATATATGCTTGCTGTGCTATTCATTAATAATGTTTTTTTTTCTGCATTTTACTGAATAGATTTTAAATGCAATAATAGTGCTTCATTCTTTTGGCATTCTTTAGTTAGTTGTTTAACGGCACCAGCATATTTTCTTTGTTGTTCAATTAGACACATTAATTGCGCGTTCAAGGAATCTCTTTTAGCTTTTTCATCATCGCATTTCTTTTTAACTTTGGCTTGTGTTTGTTTAACACCATCGACAATAGTTTCAAATTGTTTTATAAATTGATCTCTTGATTGTTGGTTTGTCATTCCCTCATTATAATTTTCATAAATCGAATTCAAAAGTGAAAGTTCTTTTTCCAAGTAAAGTTTTGTATCATCCAGGGTGTTATACAACGTATAAAATTGCTTTGTTTCTCGATGTTTTGCGCTCACTTTAAATATTTTTGAAAAAATGAATATATTAGAATTTTTATTGTGATAAGACAATAAGTATATCTTGTTTGTATAATTCTTTACCTTGATTATATAATTCTAAGAAACGCCTTTGATATTGCGCTAATTCTGTTCGATCTGGAATGTTATCAAGTTGCCTTTGAATTGACATAATTGCACGATTTTTCTTAGCCAATTGCAACCTTAAATGTTGCAATTTTTCTTTTTCATTGTCTAAAACTTCTTTAGAATCAACAAACCCATTTTCAGATGATAATTCTTCAGTTTCTCTATAATAAAAATCATAATAGAAAATTATAATTTAATATAAAAAGAAAAACCTATTTAAATATTACTTTATTTCTTGTTGCAAACGTGCCAATTCTTGTCTACAATGTTCTTTATATTTAACTTCTTCCTTTTTGAGCTCTTCATTTTCATTTACCAATTGATATATTCTATCAAGAACTCTAAAATTGAATAAAAACATAAAAATGGAAAATGAAATCATTCGTTTCTTACATTTCAAACTAGTAAGAACAAAAATTTATTTCGTTATAAAAATATTTTCCTAAATTTAATTTTATCTCGGAAACATTAAGTTTGAAATTGAAAATTACGAATTTTAATTAAGTAATTATTATTTAAATAGTTTATCAAATTGAATCAAAAGTTCTAGAGTGCAAATATAAAAAATCATAAACCTACTTTTTATCACTTTTAGCTTCAGATTTTTCAAATTCTTTAATTTCAATTTTAAGTTTTTCCTCCATATCCATTTGATCATCAATACGTTTTTGAACTTTACGACGTTCTTCTTCAAGCTCATCATTTTCCACGCGAACTCTAAGAAGTTTTTTCTCCAAAGCCGCTTTTGTTGTTTCTAAAGCCTTAATTTGACTTTGCTCCGATAATTGTTTCGTATCAATTTCCATTTCGTGTTTTAAATCAGCATAATGTTTTTTTATAGTTGTTCTTTCCGAATCCGTTAATGCTAATTGAAGTGGAGTATCATCCTGTGCATAAGTTAAATATATTTAAGTAATTAAAAAGTATCTTACTTAACTAGAATTACTGTTGCTTTATTTAAATATAAGTATATGGGATAATTATACTAACTAAATGGACAAAAAATATGTATATAATTATATAATTGTTATATTCGAGATATTCGTAAAAATAATATCACACAAGGGTTTCTATAATACTCCCTGAATTTGTTCCTGTGTAAAATTCCTCAGATTCAGAATTTTCTTAATTACTTCAAACTTTATATAAATATTTTTTAAATATGTGAAATTCTATTTGATTTTTTGCAAAACGAATGATAAGATTTAGTTGTGAAAACTGATTTACCTTCTTTTATTTTGTGTACTATGCAAAAATAATAAATTAGAAATTAATAATTTTATGTAAGATTATAATGTTATTATAATTTTACAAAGCCACTTTCACATATATGCATGTATTCCTTTTTAAAACTCAATTTTTCAAAAGGTTCTAATGCTTTTAAGCCAAAAATATTTAAATTTGCGGAGAAGTTATTTAAATTTGCGGAATTTTTAAACATTTTTTTTAAAACTACTTAAGTGATAAAATTTCTGTTTATGTTTTGTAATAAAGTTTTTAATAAAATTTAAAGCTTAAATGGTTTTAGTTATGTGCTAATATGTTTGTATTTATATTAAATAAAATAGACATCAAAGCAATAAATAAGATATCACAATTAAAAATTTATAGTAGATTTGTTCTTTAAACTGGATTTTAAAAAATATTATTTTATTCATTGCATATTATCAAATTTAAGTGAATATGCATTGAATACATGACAACATTTAAATATATCAAAAATTACTTTTGAAAAAATAAAAGAAAAATAAAAAACTAAAACTATTGAATATTTTACCTCTTTAGCAACGTAAAGATTTTTAAGCAGCTGCTCAACATCAATCTGCAAATAAATTCCAATGTGTCCAAATAATACACGAGAAGTATAAATAAATAAAAAATAATAATGATAATCTAACTAAGCAGTATAGTTATAGATCTTATTTACAAAAAGCTATTAAAATCGTGCAAAAATTATTATTAAGCTATATTAATTTAGTGCATAATTTGTATTATATGTATTTTGTATTTACGTAATTGTGTAACTTACAAGTGTTTTTTAATTAAGCAAAAAATCTGCGTACTTGCTTTTTTGAAAAAAATTTTTATTACCTCCTTTTCTAATATTAATTCGTCATCAAGTTCACCCCCACCAGATGAATCGTCAGAAGATTTTAACGACGGATTTTTTACTATCATTGGAGATCCAAAATTAAATGCAGCACCTTTATTTCCATATTCTAATAAAGTGATTCTTACACGAGTTTTTTCATCCTCATTTCCAGCTTCCTTTCTTTTATATTGACGTTTCGGACTATATATTTCTTGAATCTTTTTTACATTTTCATAGGCATTCTTTACTTTTTCGCAATTTTCTTTATCAACTTTAAATTGTAGATAATTATGAAATTGATTCACTGCAAAATTTTTTAATCGTTCTGCTTTTTCAGTTCGATTTTCGACCTAAAATATAATTATAAAATTATAAAAGCAAAAAAAAATCGTATAACTTATAAGTTTACAGATCTTTTGACAAGCCATTGAATAACCGGATAAATACTTATAAAATCTAAGCCTTGAATTTGATGGGGTTCGATTAAATAGGGACACTTCATTTTAGGTAAAACTGTAACTATTTTTTCGGTTAATGCACTTAAAATATAAAGGAAAATAATGCATTTTTTATATAATCATGTACAAAAACTAATATAAAGTTATGTAAAAATATAAATAAGAATAATAATTACATTTTTTGACCAATTGTGAGATTTTCATGGAAGAGTAAATCAACATTTACATCAAAATCACAAGATTCAATACACCAAGTCATACCACCAACAATTTTATCAAAAGCAGAAAGACCTTTAATTCTGGCTCTAAAATATCCTGCTGCTACCAATATATCAAATATTTCTTGTTCTTTCGCATTTTGTTCTTGATCTTCACGCCTTTCCACCTAAATTGTTAATTATTTTTTAATTTAATTTATTGGTAATTATAAACCTTATGTTCTTTAGAAACACCATAGATTTAAGTGTTGTAAAAATTTACCTGAATTTCATTGCCGTCTGCATCGAATCTTGTTGCTAATTTAATATTCGGCAAATGTTTTGAAAATATATCTCGATTAGCCATATTTTATGTATGAATTCTTGAAATATTTTCAAAAACTTTGAATCTCTCTAATATTATTTAGTTTATTTAGGACATCTTTTATTAAAATTTACATACTTATCGGTTTAATCTATATTATATTTTAATGTACGTATACAATATTAATAATATTATATTATTATGCTATACACACTACATACAATCCATATATCTACATTATAAATTTGACATTTAGTTGAAGTATTATGTTTCGTTTCCAAATATCCATTTAGTGTCATTGGTGTCAGTACCATTCTCCCTTAAAACATCAATTTTTATCAACAATTTTTTAGGGTTGTGTAAAAAGACTAGAAACACTCTTAAATGTCTTTCGTATATAAAGTGCAACCACAGTGCAGTTATAAGAATAACGTTTTCAAAGTTGCTTCTACAATAGCACTTTGGTACTAAAAAAAAATGAGGCACACTTTAGTATCGTAATAAAAAGCTCAAATCTCGAGCGTGACAAAAATGTCAATAAAAATTATTATATAATATATTATTTTTCTAATTTTTTTATTATATAACATTTTCAGTTGATTTATAAAAAGTTTATAATAACGTGATACTTGGATAAATTGACTTGAGAATGAAACTATGCATTTTGCGAAACGTACTGTATACATACCTCAATAAACATGTAAAACCTAAAAATTATCCTGATATTTTATATTTTTAAATAATTAAAACAAATTTTGTACTACAAAAATATCTTATTTTATTTTAAATTATCGTCTATTTTTATAAAATAATATTATAATAATAAAAAACACTGTACAGTTAAAATATTATGTAATATAGTTATAAAAAACGATATTTACAAATTTTCCTACCAATGAAAAACATCTTTGTTTTATAATATCCTTTTTTTTTGTTTACTTTTTTTTTAGACTTTTGCTTTCGTCCGTTTTTTTTTTTTATTTATATTCAAAGACATTTGCTAATATATAATTAAAATACAATGAAATTTATGTAAAAGTAATGTATTATATTATGTACTTCTCGTTATTTATGCATTTAAATTTTTAAATGTATTTTGAACAAGAAGAGCTCATTAATGTTACCTAAATACAAGTGTACGCGTATAAATGCGTATAAATATGTATTTATGTAACATTAGACATATTTTCGCTTTAATAATTAATTCACAACGTAAAAGTTTTTATTTATAAAAAAAAATTTAAAATTTTGCATAAATATTCCTTGTTTTTGGTTATTATTTCAGGTATATATTTGTTATATTTTTTTTCCATTATTTTGATGTATAATTAATAAATATTGATCTTCCTCTGGAAAATATATTTTGAATATAATGTGTAATTGATTTTATAATTTTACGTTGAAATTATTATTTCTTTTTTTAAATATCTATGCAAAAACTGTTTAAAAAATATGTAATTTAAATGCAAGGTACTTAAATTTACATCAAACATTGATGTAATATGTTGTAAATTCATTTTAAACAGTTGTAATGCATTGTTAAGTTTAATTAGTATATCATGTCAAATTTGGTGTATAATTTGTCAAAACAACAGTAAAAAATTTTACGCAAAATGAAATAATAATGAAAATATAAATGATATGCATAAAATAATTTATAACGTTGAAATGAGATTTTGATGAATTTAAAAATAAAAAGAATTTTCCATTATTTCGACAAATAATATTATTAAGAAATAAAATTTAGGATTGAGAAAATAAATTAATAATTATTGTTTGTAAAAATTGAAACATAAAGATTAAAAACCAGTTCCGATTTGACAGGACGTTATAAGAATATTTTCGCGAATTGAAATTCAGCTACAGACATCAAATAATAAAAATTAATTTCCAAAAATTATTAATTAGATTACCAGCTTGTATAAACAATTGTCAAAAAATTAAATACGGTTATGAAATTGAGGATTTCTTTTTGAAATTATGATATGAAATTTAGAACTTGATGAATCACTAATGCTGATATTATAATTTTGTTTAAATTCGTTAAATTTTAATAAAAGAGTCCATAAAAATTAAATTTTCTATAGTGTTCAAATTCAAAATAGAATTAGTTGCTTATAGGAAATTATTTTAAAAATTTAAAATAATAATAATTTATGTTGTATTGTTTGTCGTTGAGCTTGCTCCCATTGGTTGTGGTCCCTTAGGTCTTATCATCATTAGTGACTTTTTAAGTGTGTAATCCCATCCACGCCAACGGAACCAAACAACACCTTGTCTTGCTGTTAAATCTTGAGGATCGTGCAAGTAAAGGCCATTAAGACCGCGTCCACATGATTTCCACCACCAGCCTCCCTATAATAAATGAAATATCAATATTTTTGGATTTTAAATACCTACCTGCACATTGAAGAAACAAAATATTTTTTATTCAAATAGGTATGTACGTACTTTGAGCATACTAGCACAATTTAACGAACTTCTGTCATTATCTCTGTTATATGTGGAAAATGGACTATTATTGGCACCATACCAAGGATCGTTCAAGGAATCACCTGCCGTACCTTCATATCCATCAATTTCTAATTTGTAATAATCAGATTCTGAATGAATTTTAAAATGTGAATATTGCGCGTATCTGTAACAATAGTAATTAATAATGTTAATATTTAATGTGAATAACGATATTTTGCATATTATTAAACTGTCAGAAAAATATTTTAGAATTTCTTCCTTGTGTTTCTTCCTTATTTCTTGTAGTTTAAAATTGGGTACCGCATGCTAATAAAATTTTTAATTCGATTGAGTAAAATTATTTTACCTTTTATTGCCTTCAAAATCTTCTAATTCAACTCTCAAAATATAATCTTCATTATTTGTTAACATGTATATATTTTCATTTCCTAGCCAAAATTCTTTAGCGGGATCACCAAAACCATTTTTATAATCAGACCAATCTCTATTAAAATTTTCTCGTGGATCACCGAAATCATCTCGTCTTTGAATAACCTAATAATATTGTTTGTATGAAAATATACATTTATTTCTTTTAAATATATCATGTTTTTTTTCTTTTAGTAAGAAATTACCGTCCATCCACCATCAGCGATTTCTTGTTCACAGAAAACTTTTAAAAACCAATATGTTGTACCACGTATTTGTAAGTAGAAAACACCAGACTGACGCATCCCCGCATTCAATAAATCTACGCATGAGAATCCCTGAAAATAAAATAATATTTCATAAAATACCGTTTTAATAATATCAATTAATAAAAAAATACATTGTTAATAAATTGTTAAAAAAATAATGAATAGGCATCTAAATTTATTTAAGTAGAAACGGGAATAAATTATTCGTAACTTCTATATTAACATGAATTACACTCGTTTTGCTGAGAAAACGGGAAAGAGAAAACTACAAACCCTACTAAAATTTTAAAAGAAGAAAAACTCTTTTTTTATGTGTGGCAGTACTCTAGTGAGGTTTTATTTTATTTCAATATCAAATGTTTCTAATGATGTTCTGATTTCATTTTGGAAGAACGAAATGTCATATAATTATGTACAATGATGATATGTCAAAATTTGAATATATCATTATTGTTTGAGAAGAACAAAATATAAAAAGTGACTAATTTTTTGTGAAAGCGATAAATTGAAAAATTTCACTAGTTTGAATTAAACCAGAAAAAGTTGTGTTTCATATTAATTTTGTTAGCTGTATTAATTAGAAATATTTAAAATAAAATTTAGTTTAAAAGAACAGTTAAATTCTGCAGATTAAAAAAGACCAGTTAGAATTGTAAAATTCATTAATATAAGGTAAGCTTGGTAAGAGAAAAAAAAAACTTATACAGATTGATAAAACATCCGGGAAATAAATATGATATCCCCTAATTACAGAATTATCATAAAAATTGCATACATACTTTCTTTAAACTGGGGAAACACATTTTTGTGTGGTAAAATTTTTAATGAATTAAATTGTATTTGTAATATTTTTTAATAATGGATAATGTGACTCATATATAATTATTAATTAAATGATGTTTGCTTTCTTGAAATTATCTTTGTTTAAATAATAAGCATGTGTTTTTTAGAGTTCTAGAAAATCTCTTTGTCATTAGATTTCTCTATGAAAGTTCAATAATTTATTATTCATATATTATATATACATATATGTGTATGTACAACATAAAAAATATACATATTTGAATATATATATTTATATATATGTTTGTACACTGGTACATTCTGTATAAGACGCACTGAAAATTTTAAATAGGAGAGAACATGGTTACTAATCCAAGTATCTAAATAATTACGTATACATATAATAACCTTTAGATATTTTCTTTTCTATTTATTTTAATTAGTAATTTCACTATTTTATGAAAAATTATTACATGTGGAAATTAATGTGAGGAAATGACAGCTGTTTTACTTGCAAAATTCAAGTAGGTAGGCAGATAAGGTCAAGGTAACAGGTTAATATGCGAATAAAAATTCTCACACAAATATGAATTTTTAATATATGGAAAACTCTCTAGGTACATAGATAATATTGGGATCGAAAGAATATTGTGCTATAGAAAACATCTTACGTATGTAGGTACCTATCTATACACAAGTATGTAGGTACATATATGTATGTTTTGAGTCAGTAATTTTTTTTAATTTGGTTGGACTATTGTTTGTAAATCACAATGTTAAAATTTTTGCAATTTTAAGCTTTTAATAATGAGTAACTCATATTTTTATTAAAGCTCTTAATGATCTCAGTGAAATCAATTGTTTAACTTAGTGTGTGAAATAGAAATAATGTATTATAGGAAGTAGGTACTATATGTACGTGCATATGTATGTTTTATGTTGAAAATGTTTTCGTTAAATGTATTGATTAAATTTAAAAAAAATGAACTAATTGATAATGGGAGTGAATATCTTAAATTTTAGTTTTATTTCAATAAAAAAACTAATGGGTAGATATACCTACCCACTTAAAACAAATAGCAAAGATATTCTAGTTCAATATTTAATAGCTTCAGATTAATAGTTGTAATTTTCTTTTATTAAAATAAATATAAATAGGTATCTATACCTACCTAATGGTGATTATAATAAAAAATCTTTAATTTTTGTTTTAGATAATGGATTCGTTTGCAAAATACGGTCGGAAGAACAATAACAACAACATTCATTATAAAAACAAAAAGAAAAGTTATAAGAATAACAATGATCTAAAAAATATTTATAATGGGAAAGTAGATTTAAATGAAAACAAATTTCATAATGGCGATAACAAAATTCATACTGAACGGACCTTCGGCAGAAGAACACCACCAACAAAGGATCCTTTTAATACACATAGCAATGATAGATTATTAATGCACCCAAACCAAAACATTAATGTTAAAATGCAAAATTTAAATATTGCGAAAAATACTGAGACATTTTCAGATAACAATGTCGGTATTAAAAGTGGTGATATGACTGATAGATTGACAAATGAAAGTATTAGAAATTCGATAAGCAAAAAGTATTCAAATTTTAAACAAAATGCAAACATTAAAGATAATTTTGAAAAACAATTTAACGTAAAAGATATAAACATTCCTGCTCAAAACGATATCAAACTAAAAAATTTGGACTCTAATGAAATTGATATTTTAAATGCAGATTCAAAAATAATATGTAATGAACCAGAATTGGATGTGTACAATGAAGAAAAAAATATTGATCATGAAAATGAAATACGACATCCATTATGCTGCAGTTGGACCTTTTGGCATACAATTTCGGGCAATTCATTTAGAGATTGTTTAAATGATATTAAAGAATTTGACACTGTTGAAGAATTTTGGAGTTTAGTTAATCATATGATCCCACCCACACAATTTTATGTTGGTAGTGATTTTTCGTTATTCAAAAGTGGTATTAAACCGGAATGGGAAGATAAAAGAAATGAAAAAGGTGGTGCTATATTGATTACAATCAAAAATGAATATGAAACAGATATAACAAATATGTTATGGCGTGATACATTACTTAGTTTAATCGATGGCCAAACATATGGTGCGAATTTTGAACATATTTGTGGTGCAGTTATTAGCATTCGACCAAAATTACAAAGAATTGCTTTATGGGTTGCAAATGGAAAAGATAATGTTACAAATGCCGATATACAAAAACGATTTTTATCTTATCTTAAAGAACATAGTTTATATAATCCTCGTATTGTAGTTAGTTTTAAACAACACGAAACATAATGATGTTCCTTTAATCATATTTAGAAATCAACAAAGAAATTATTTTCATCTATCTAAATTTAATTAATATTACCTATATACATATATATATATATATAAATTTGCAGGATAAAATTCGCATTTTAGTCGCAAACATAAATTTTAAATGTATTCGAAAAACCGATTTTGGTATAAAAATAAAATAATTTATAATTTTTTGCGAAAATTATGTTATTTCTATTAAAAATTTCATATTTTTATATTATTATAATACGTATGTTGTATAAATTCAAAAATGGACAAGTTTTTTTTTTTTTTTTTGTATTAAAATTAATAAAAAAAACTTGATTTGTTATTCAAACGAAACTGAAAGAAAAGCAAACAGATTATTCACATAAAAATAAAATCTTAGAAATGCCATAGAGCGGACAATAATAAATTTCTTATTCTTTCTTTCTTTTTTTTTTTTTTTTTTTTGATAATGAAATAATTTTATATTTTTTTGTAATCATTCTATGTGTTTTTGAAATTTTCTATCGTTTTTTTTTTTTCAAATTTAAAAAAAAAAACATTTTATCATATCAATTTTGCTTGTAGCAGCTGATTAAATTGTGATATGCGGGCGTTGTTTATTATTTTGCTTCGTATAATCGATAATTAGGTTTTGTTTTATTTTTGGGATATGTTTAATATATGAGATATGTACATGTATGAATAGCATGCAATCTATCAAGAGGAAGAAAGTGTATCAAAATGAAAGTTTACTTAAAAATAAAAAACGATGAAAGAAATAGAAATAAAATAAATATTATAAATGTAAAATATAAAAAATATCAAAAGAGGACGTAGAGAAAACAAAACAAAAAATTAATGAATCGATGCTCACAATTTAAAAATTTGAAAAAAGAAAAAGAATGTCAGATAAAAAAATATGAAAATTTGCTAAAAAAAATATTAAACTTATTTATTTAAATTAAAATTGATTTTTAAATTTGAAAAATATACTATTTGTAAATGCAGTGATGAATGTATGTATTTCACATGCATATTTAAAAATACACAAGTAATTTAAAATAAAAATTATTTCAAGACTTCAAAACACGATACTTGATTGTATATTTAATATTCTTTTTTTAATAGGTATTCATTAGAATTTGTTTCCATAAATATTATTTTTATATTTGGTTTCGGTGGCTACTATGTAAGTAATTATTTTTTCGTTCTGGGTTTTAAATAGATTTTTGTGAGATGTTTTATTGAACTGATTCATATTAAAAAAAAAAAATAAAAACTAAAATAATTATATTTATATTTTTTATAGCTTTAATAACGTATTTTATAATTTGAATAATTTTATGTCTTTATGGTACAAAATACTTTTGTTTTGAAAATGAGGTTATTGCTCCCAATTTTAATGTACTTTTTTCTTTTTTTTTTTGTCGATAAGCTTTTGTGTTTATTTTTAAAAAATTCGATTTTATGTACTTACTATAATTAAAATACATACGCATGAAAATTATATTCAAAATTATTCGGATAAACTTTTGGTAGTTAAAATTCTAGAATTAATATAACCATCAAATATAAAAAATATCAACTTTTCTAGAAATATTCATCTATGATAAGTATGAAATCAAATTTACTAATATATATATAATAACACAGAATGTTACATACATGTTACATTAATATTATTTAAGAAAATTCGAGTACAAAGATTTTACTGAAATAAAATAGAGAAAATTAATGAAATCAAAAAAGTTTAAAGCTTAATAAATTAGTAAGCTCTGTTACTATAATGTTAAAAAACAAAAGTTTCAAGATATTTATGTTGCATGTATGACCTCTCCTAAACGTATGCAATTTATAAGAACTTCTAAAATGAATTTTTTAATTTTATTCACGTACTGAGCGAATCTAAAAATTTAAGAGGTACTTTTATTTTTACGTTTCTTCATCATTCTTGTCTAAAGAAGTTGTACAGATTGAAGTTATATATGTTGGATGATATAAAGAATGTATTGTATTTAATTTACGTACCTTTACATCTTTAAGTGATAAAATATCGGTGGAAAATGTTGTATTATTTTGTACTGATGGTTTATTCTTAACACTTGGAAATATTATACCACCTTTACGTGATAAAGGTTTTGAAGTTGATGATGTTGATGAAATTGATGACGATGAAGATATTGATGTTCCATTTTGTTGATTTGATGTTTGTTGTGTCGATGTTGATGTTACAGCAGTTACAGTTGAACTAATTACATTAAATATTGATGAGGGTGTTGTTGGATTTATTGTTGATGTTGATAAAGTTGTAGCCGTTGATGATGATGGTGTGGGATATGTTGTGACTGGAAGTGGTTCTGTATAATCATCAATTACTGAATACCTGAATTATTATCGAAAAAATTTGTTTTAGTATTTAAAATTTATTTAAATTTTTTTTATTAATATTAATTACCTATTTGGATCGTATTCAACTAAACGATCTATTGTTGGATCCATTAATAATTCAGCTGGTACTGGTCTTTGTGCTAATATTGAAACATCATCTTCTTGTTTTTTTAAACGTTTTTCAACCATATCCAAATTTGTTATAATTAAATTTGTTTTTGTTTTTAAATCATGATGAATTTCACCAATTGCACGCTCTTGACGTTGTGTTTGTGTTAATAATTCATCAGATTTTGGTACTAAATGATCAACTGATGATTTTGTACCAACAACAACATTCCATACTTCGTCCATTTTCTCTGAAACTGACATTATTGGTTTAATTTGCTTAACTAATGCATCAATTTTACTTGATTTTATTAAAGGTACTGGTGTTGTTGTAGATGATGCATTTAAACTGTTATATTGTTCATGATGATCAACAACAGCTTCATGTATTTCATTAACCATACGTAACATTCGACCAACATTATCTGATACAATATTTATATGAAATTGTAATTTTTTATCAATATTATCAGTTGTTGTTCTTAATTGACCCAATTCTGTTGTCATATGATTCATTACTTCAGCATTCATTGCTTTTGTTATTTCAATAACATTCATACTAATTGGTTTCTTTTCACTTGCTTCAGCATTAAAATCATCAACTTGTAAAAAATTATTATCAATTTGATTTTTTAATCCTTCCAATTTTGAATCAATATCAGTTACTTTTTGATCAAGTGATACTAAACGACTATCTAAATTTGATGATGATGTTCTTGGACCTCTTGTTGCACTTGATGTACCTCCACCATTCACTGTTCTAATTTCAATTGGTTCATATGAGATTTTATTATCAAGTGATCTTAATTTTGAAATAACAGAATCTGTTTTAATAATATTATCACCGACACGATTATCAAGTGCTTCAACGCGTCTCATTAAATGTTCAACTGCTTTATCAAGATTATCAATTCGTTTTAATTTACCTTCTAATGTTGAAATTACAACTTCAAATATGTTAAGTAATTGTTGCTCTCTGAAAATATATATATAGTATAAAATGATTTTAATTAATAATGTTTTTGGATTTTTAAAATTAAATGAAATTATTATATTTGATTTAATTTAAATTTTATAATAAAAAAAATAGCCCGGACATTAAAATGAAAGCTTGTAATTCAATAAAAATATTTTAATAATTCAATAGATTAAAGATAAAAATTTTAAACAAATGGAAAACTTCAATTTATATTTTATTTAAAAATGCATGCTATCAAGATTGCAATTAAAATTTATTTTATTTGAAAATAATTTTTAAGATTTGATTTATGAATAATTTTAATATTTTCCTTCTCAGAATAGTTTACACCAGTATTAATTTGCAAATAATATTTATTTGTAATGAAAAGTGGTTTGGATTTTTTTTTCAATATTTAGATCAAAATCATAATTCAGAGATTGTTGAATTGAAAAGTCTTTGTGAGACAAATGTAAATATAAATTTAGGGTAAAATATATTCATAAACCTTTTTTTGGTCTATTTCATTGATATGCTCTTTTACATTTTATGTAAATTGTATTTAAAACCATGTAATGTATTTAAAAAGAAAGTGTAAGATATTACCAAATTACATTGAAAGTGTGTGTCTTTGTTTCATTACATTTTATCTGTAAAATTTTCAATTTATTCAATTAGGACATAAAATTCGCTTATGTTTTTGCATGTTTTTTATGTTATTTCTTTATATTTCCTCAACGTGTTTCTCAAAATACATATGTGAAATGGAGAAGGAAATTTAAAAATATCACGCGACGAAATTGCAGTGTCAGTGCATCAGTGATAAATCACTCTAGTAATTTAATAATAATTAAAAAATATTTTAAATATTATTGTATACCAAGATTAAATATTATTAATATTAATAATATTTAAATATGTATTCATAAAAGTATTATTTAAAATGTAATATCATTGTAAAATTTTGATTTTGTAATTACAGAATATATTATTACAGAAAATATTTTGTAAAAAACCCACTAATTTATAAAATGCAATTTTTTATAACCAAATCAATAAATTATTCCTTATAAATTTTGAACAGACAAAATATGTAGATTATGTGAACTCTCAAGAGAAATAGGAGAGCATTTTAGGAAAAAGAAAAAACAAATGTGTGTAATTAAAATTCAAAATAAATAATTTGTTTAGTAATTTTCTAATAAATAATCATCAAAGTTATTTAATCCATTTCTATATAATTTAAAATTTATTGAGTTCATAAATTAGAAAAAAAAAAAACTAGAATTTTTGGTCGCACGGCATAAATATTTTACTTTAGATGCAAAAAGAAAAATGAAAAACACAAAGCCTATATTTAGGAATTTGAATTTTATTCACATAAGAATTCATTCGTATTTAGATAATCTACATTTTTCTATACAAAATGAAAATAAAAAAATTTACACATAAGTAAATTAGGTATGTAATTTATATTCTGGGCTATATAGAAATTAGAAACATATTTCAATTAAAATTTTGTCTCTTGATTCCATTTAAAAAAAAATTAATCTCATGCTTGTCATTCTCAATGCAATAAAACAAAAATTTGTTAAAAAAATTGCAAAAAAAACATTAAGAAAAGTTGTTACAGTATGGATTTAGTAGTTATTTATTTTCATCAATTCGACCAATCAATTAAAATGTGTGTTGTAAACTTGTTACTATCAACAATATTACTTAAGAAATCAATTCCACTCAAAGATATTTTATTTCTAAAGGATTTCTTTGTAATTTTTTGGTAACTTGTTAAATTAATCAGGTGATTTGCTTGAACAATCGCCCGCCATATAAGTCATAAATATCATAAAAGCCATCATTTAGTTTCAAAATGAATAAAAGAATAGCGTTACCTAGAACTAAATTATAGTTATTAGGGTAGCTTAAAAGTTTATCAAAAAGGATTGAAATTCTTAAATGAAAATTTAAAAACTACATAGAGATACTTTAATATTTTTATGTTTAATAGATAGAACTCGTTAATTTATTTACAAAAATCTATAAAGTACAACTCATGACATGTCCATAGCCTTAACAAATTTCTTAAATTCTTTTTAAATAAAACATAATTAAACATTTAGAAAATAACTATAACCACACACAAAGCAACTTTAATAAAATTTTTTTAATTATTCTATTCGATCAGTAAGAAGTCTACTCTCATATACTACATAAGGATCAGATAAATTCAGAGAACATGCAAAATGAAATTTTTAAATATTCAAGATATGGTTATAATAAAAAATATTTATGTCTTATTGCTCTATGATTTCCAAATTTATACAATTTCTAAGAATGATTGGAAAATTTATCAGACTTGAAAAGAAATTTTCATATAACATTTTGAATTATGCTTAATTAATTGTACTCAATGCATAAATAATATGTAAATATGTGTGTACATATGTGAAAAAGAAATAATTTAAATTACATTTGTATCTTTGTATGTATGTAGTATACATGTATGTTATTTGAGAGGAGTCTCGTGCCGTAATCACCATTATTAGTGAAAGAGAAATGATTTTTGTCAAATGAAATGACATTACAATACAATAATGAATTATTTACAGCAAGTAAACACAAAATGTAAAACGTTTTTAATGCTATATCATTTTTTAAAAAAAATTGTCATTAAAAAATTATTGATACGCAGCATAAATATCTCGTCGCATCGCACATACTGCATTGACAAGTAATTGAAAAAAAATATCTAGATAGGTGCCCGCTGATCTATATTGTGAATGTACGTATAGTTTTAATCTATTTTTCTTTGATCAATTTCTTTTGTAATCTAATTTTGTTATTTTCGCTCCTAAAAATATGCAGCAAGAATATAATATTGTGATTTGTAAATGTGTATTAATAATATATTTTTTAAGATCATCTTAAACATTAGCCAGTACATCTATGTATATCTACATGATATAAAATTGGCATGAAGCGAGAAGTACAAGCGAAATTACAACGCGAACGTGAAAACACAAAAATCATGTAAGTTTTTTGGTCACAAAAAAGTGTGACAACAATTTGATATTTGTGTAAAATAAAAAAAAAGGAAAGAGTAAAGACAAAAAAAATATCGCAACAAAAGATTTTACAAACTTTTTCCTATAATTTTTTTTTTTAATATTGCATTGTTTATGTTAAACAATTAATTAACGACACGAATGTCACACTCTAGTTTTTATCTGAAATCTTGATTTTACATATAGAAATTTTCAAAAGTTTATATAGATAAAAACGCAATGTATGCCTACATTCAACAAATACTTTCTTATATTCAAAAGAAATTTTCGATATTTATCAATATACATACATATATATCAATATATGTACATATATATGATAATATGTTATTGCTTGTTACAGATATGATATAATTCTTAAATCAGGCACTATAATATTGGAGTCTAATATTGAGCTACAGAAATTTTAAAAGTTCTGAATTCGAAATATATACCCTAATTTGTATATATAGGTTATGTTCATTTTATATAGGTCCTTTTCATTGATATACATACATACGTACCATAAAGCATAATAGTTAATATTTATTAATTATGGGCTGTTTATATTACTACGATACCGCGACAGTGACTGTCACTCGAAGTGTCAAAGTGTTATTGAATATATGTATTTCAAATAAAACCAATAATGAAGAAAGAAATTTTTTAAAAGCCAAATTGTGTAAAATACTAAAATTTCAAGGTCGGTTATAGGTCAAATGAAAGAATAGATCAAAACTGCATAAAATTTTCTTCAAAACTACAAATTAGGCAGTAAAGTTTATTTCAAAAATAAATTAAATAATTGAAATAATTAAATAATTTAAGTAAAAATGAAATAATGCACCGTTCAGGTTAATTGGCTATCTATCCAATATATTATTAAAATTACCATTACTTTAGAAATAAGAGTTTCGAAATTGCAATTGGGCTATGGTAATTATGAAAATACGTTATCATTATATCGTACAATTTTTACTAAATTTTGAATGATTCTGCAATTATTAAATGCAGGAATCCTATTTATATATTTTAAGTAATTTCTAAAGTGGACTACTTACAAATCGTTTCAAATAATTTGAGTACAAAATTTAAGTACTTTCAAATATTTTAGCTTTTTTTTTAATTTTTATGTATATGTAGATCTAATGAGTAGATAATCTTAAAAAAAATACATTTAAATTGCTAGTGGACATTTTAACAATTCATTGTTTTTTTTCATTATTTTCATAATCACGATCTGAATAACTTGCACTTGTTTATGTAGTATGTAAAAGTTTTATCGTATTTATTTTTTATAATAAATCAGATAAAAATCTTTTATATTTTATTATATTGTGTGGTTGCTAATAATTAAATCAGATAATTTGTCTAAAATGCGATATATGGATTCGATGGCTATGATTATGTCTGGTAATCTGTGCTAACAGTAATGTTTTATTATAATTATTTTTTTTTTAAAGGAAATATTTAATGAATAATTTTTTTTCAATTTAAAAAGGTATGATTAGCACAATAGGGTTTTGACATATCTTGAAAGAAAAATCTTTATATATATATATAATATTATTGCTTTTTATAATAGTGCAGATAAAACAAATACAAACACTTATATTTTATGCAAATAATCTAAGATCGTAGTAATATTAAATAGCATTTAACATTGTTTATATTTTCTTTAAATGTATTTTTAACATTTTTAAGATTTAGTTCTAAAATTAATTATATATGAGATCTTAACTTGCTATATTCCTTTCTCTGTTCTCAGCTCTAATCTCAGTACTCAAAGCTCTAATTAATTTGCTAAGTGTTTGAATACCTTTAAGTGTATAAACTCAGAATTTAGAAAATTTACAGAGGGAAGCATCATAGCAAATTACGATCTCATTTATAGTTCAACCTTAGTTAATTTTCTAAGTGTTTCATAAGTAGAAAGAGTGTTATTAATTATTGTTTATTGCAGTTATTTA